GAATAATAAACCGTCATTTCATGAGGAATATCACCTATTTCAAAATAGGTTGGAACACTACCTACTTAACCACTGAAGGTGCTAACAGCTCTCTGAGCGGTATCCTTCCTGTCTTGGGAATCTGTTGACTTTGATTTTTATCTGCTTAGGTTTAAGTACCCATTCTCCAGATACTTAATGATGCTCTCTCTATCACCCCTTCCCTTTTTCTCCCCCCTTCCCTTCCCCTCTTATTTCGAGTTTTCATATCCCATACTAATAACTCCGGTCATCTGAAGAAGTGGGCTGTGCCCACAAAAGCTCATGATACCATCTACATGTTTTGTTAGTCTATAAAGTGCTACCAGACCATTTTTTTTTCTGTAACAGACTAACTCTGCTACCCCCTGAAGCTCCTATTTCAAAATAGTTATTTTGAAATATCTGTAGTATGGACTCTCCATTGTTGCTATTTTGAAATAGTTCCTCCCCAGTGTCATTCAAAGTAATTACTCTCCAGTGCTTCCTGGGGCTCTAAATTGAGGTAGAATGTCCACTCATCAGGGGAACCTGCCTTGGACTAATTTCAAGTCTTCTCGGTACTGTGGATGTGCTATTTTGAAATAGTTATTTCAGCAGTTACTATTCTGAAATAACTTATTAGAAATACCTTTGTAGTGTAGACATACCCACAGAGGGCATGTTACATCAGCTGGAATTTGAATGGAGAAGGTACGGCATTTATCCCCTTTAATAACCTACTCTGTTCCATGGAATTAAACAACTCCAACTGAATTTACTCAACTGCGTACATATGTGGTCGCCTCCTCTCAAAAAAAGATATATTGGCATTGGAAAAGGTTCAGAAAAGGTCAACAGAAATGATATGGGGTTTGGAATGGGTCCTGTGTGAATAGAGATTAAAAAGACTGGGACTTTTCAACTTAGAAAAGAGGAGACTAAGGGGGAATAGGATAGAGGTCTGTAAAATCATGACTGGTGTGGAAAAAGTGAATAAGGAAAAGTTACTTGTTCCCCTAATATAAAAAACTAGGGGGGTCACCAAATTAAATGAATGGGCAGCAGGTTTAAAACAAACAAAAGGAAGTTTTTCTTCATGCAGCGCTCAGTCAACCTGTGGAACTCCTTGCCAGAGGACGTGGTAAAGACTAGGACTTTAGCAGGGTTCAAAAAAGAGCTAAATGAATTCATGGAGGTTAGGTCCATCAATGGCTATTAACTCTGATGGTAGGAATGGTGTCCCTAGCCTTTGTCTGGAAATGGATGATAGGAGAGGGATCATGTGATGATTACCTGTTGTGTTCACTCCTGCTGGGACATCTGGCATTGGCCACTGTGAGCAGACAGGATACTGAGCTAAATGGGCCTTTGGTCTGACCCAGTATGGCTGTTCTTGTGTTCTTATTTAATTTTTGTTGTCACAAATAAAAAAAATCTTCCTCACATCAGGAGGCACTCAACTCAGCAACTGACTGGAAGCAACTTAAATTGACCAAGTTGTTCATCTACAGAAACAGATTTGCTACTCAAGATGTTGCAGTTGCTGTGATGGAAAGTGTTGCAACAGGCTCAGTGGTTCCTCTCTACACAGTCACCAGTTTATTGTTAGTAGACCCACCTGCTGGGCCCCATGTGCTTCTAAGCCAACTGAATCTGTGTAGAATCTAGTCACAAAGTCTAGCATTGGGTTTCTAGGCTACACTCTCAAGATCTGAATGCTCCCTTGGAACTTGCACTCTACTGGCTCTTTTAAATTCCCAAATCAGGGTCTCAGACCTCATAAGTATCTCTCACCCCTAAATGCTTATACGTTCAAAGACATGATAATTGTAGCTTTTTGTTTAACCCCTTTTTGGACAATATGGTGTGACAGCGAGGAATCAGACTTTTAATCGTGTAATTTCTTAACCATAGTTACTTTATTCTTAAGAAATTATAGTCACAGAAACTTATGATATAACAAAAGTCTTGAGTCACCCCCATCCTAGTCTAATCTCACCCTTTTTGAGATGTGAGGTCTGCTAGTGTTCGGGCTGGGTCGAGTCCCTCCTGTTCTCTCTCTCCCTCCCCTTTGCACCTCCAGATTACATGTGACAGTGATATGCCCCCTTGCTCACAGAATGAACCCCTTAAAAATACAGTTTGTCTCTACTTTTGCCATTATGCCCAGGGGTAAGGCTTGGCCTACACCTAAAAGGTAAGTTGACCGAGCTTTGTTGCTCAGGGCTGTGAAATAATTCATGCCCAATGCAACATAATTAGGTTTACATAACTCCCACTGTGGATGCAGTTAGGTTGACAGACTAATTCTTCAGCCTCTTGAGGGGGTGGATTTACTATAGTAACAGAGAAATTCCTCCTGTTGCTGTATTAACTGTCTATATTACTACAGCTTAGCAGCAGTGCTGCAGCTGTGTTGCTATAGCACTTGTGTAGACCTCCCCTGGAAAGCTGCATATCTACCAATCCTGGTGACTGTAGATTTGCGGTTCCCAACCACCAGTCCACGGACCAGTGCTGGGACATGAACCGCTGGCTACTGGGTCACAGCATGCTGCCAGGCCATGCACATGGGGCTGGTGTATACCCTGGGTGCATGGCCGGCGGCTGCTGGAGCTCAAGCCGGTTGTTCACAGTGGCTCTATGCCACCAAGTGGTGGGTGGTTACTGCAGCTGAAGCCAACTGTTTGCGGCTGCTCTGGGGGCTGGGATTTGGGTACATATTTTGGCGGACCACTAACATTTTATTTGCATATATGTTATTTGTATAATGAATATGCAAATAAAATGTTACCTGTCTGCCAAAAGATTGTGAATGGGTTTGCTGTTCTACAGTATAAAAAAGGTTGTTGACCACTGACGTAGATAATCTGTACTACATAGTTGGGTTAGCAGTTGAGAGACAATTTAACATTGATGGAAGTCTGTCAGCTAAATGTCAAGAACCTTTTTTGGGCAGGATAGCTGACTGGAATAAATAACCTTGCCATGGGCAAGGTTAGTTACTAGGGATGTTAGTGTATAGTCGGGTAAATAATTAACCAGTAAGCCTGGTGTGACGGGGCGCTCCCGCCCCGCACTCAGGATGCTCAGGGGTACGCTGGGCGGACACGCCGGGTGGCGGGGAGCCCGTATGGCCCCAACACGGCGGGCTGCGCTGACGCGCCAGGACCCGGCGCGGGGAGCGCTGGGAGGCAAAGGGCACCGATAGACAAGGCCCAGAAGGGAGGGGTCAGGGGGGCGCCGGCCCATGAGGTCATGGGGGAAGGGAGGCTCCAGGGCGACGCGGGGGAAGTGACGCACGGGGGGAGCGGAGCCAGCGGGGGATTTAAACCTGGGGCCGGCACGGCGAGAGAGGGGGAGGAGAACGGAGCGGCAGGGAGGAATGGGAAGGGAGAGGTGAGGCCGGGTATGGCGGCAGCGGCGAGCCTTTAAGGTCTGGCGGAGTAGGAAGCGGCCCAGGGCAGGGTCGTGGAGCCCGTGAGCGGGTGTGTTTTGGGGCACTTCCCCCATACGCTAGGGAGGGACCGTGAGTCCCTGCCTTCAGGGCCCTGGGCCGGGGTTTGGAGAGGGGGCGGGCCCGAATCCCCCTCCTCCGCTGG